ACGTGCGCGACTGCACAAGAAAACCGGGTCTAGAATGCACGTGACCAGATGCGCAGCTGAAGGTCCTGGCGCTGGGATGAAGACCAGTCTGGCTGCTACTGGTGGCTGGCGGCTAGTATATAGTGGCCGGCTATGAAGGCTGGCTAATATTTATAGGGTTTTTTCTTTTCTATTTTGGCAGTGAAAGACAGAGAATTTGTAAGAGAGTCTAGAGTTTTTTTAACTTTAAGTTCTAATACAATGTCAAACATAGTTTGATATGTATTCTATAGAATATTAAACTATATATATACATTTTTTTTATGATGGATAAGGATAGAGAGAATTAATTATATAGGATATAATTTACCATTATCCCCTTTAACCTAATTTTCCTTTAACAATCAGAAAGTAATAAAATTATTAAGAAACTCTCTTTGACTTCACTGCTATTCTTCTTCTCTATTTTTCTCTTCTGAGCCTCTTCTTTCTTTCTATACTCTTATTGTTATGATCACTCAGGTTCATGAACAAGGAAGGAGAATATTGGTGGTACCAGTACATCACCAGAGATCACAACACAGTATAAAACTAATTGACAGAATTCACCATGTGCCTTCAAATTTATATGCAAATGAATATTTTGAGTTTATATGGTCTTCCGCTTTTCTATGCATATATCTCAAAATAGAAATATTATCCAACTACCGAATTTGTGACTAATACCAAGGGCCCATCATAAAAATTTACCATTAATGCTCTTGAATTATTTGATCTGCTTTTTCTTCTCTTTTATTAACCGGAGAAGGAGGAAAACAAGTCACTAATCTATAAATCACCAATTTACCAACCAAAGTTCATTCTCTGCTCAGTCATGATACAATCGTAACCCCACAAGTTCATGATAGAAGTTATTCTCTAATAATTTTGATGATATGATTGGATCATAAATATATATCAAGAATTCCATCACAGAACCAATTTGGAATTCTGGATGCTACACTACATAGATTCAATTCATTTTTCTGACTTTATTCTTTTTATTTGACTTTGTTCTTCCTGTTTGCTTCTTTTTTTTTTTAAGTAAATGTCTGAGTTCCCGTTAACCACTAGCTATACTACAGTTAGCAAGAATTTTGCATCTTGGTTCAGCACAAAAATAAACTGGCCTATCTGTAAGTAAAAACAGAAAACTCTACTTAAGTTCCAAAATAAGTTACCTTCCCGATACAAAGATGGAAAAAGTCCATCAGGGGAAATAACAACTGGCCCATCCGGCAATGCTTTCCCATCCTATATATGTGAGGACATATTAGGTAAAGATAAAGGAAATCAATTGACATTAGAGGAAGTTTCAGAGATGATAATATAAAATGAGAATGGAACAATTTACAGGCAAATCACCTGCTTAAGGTTGACAAGGAATTGCCGAGTGTGATAGGCTTGAGAGATTGCTCGTGCACTAAGAAAGAGAAGTTGATACCCATTTTCCTGCAAGCAGAGCGAAGCTAGAGCATTGAGGTGGTGGGTGCAATAATAAAAATATTATTTTCATATACAAATAACTCTTTAGGTTATCAAAATTCTTCAGATAACATTTTTGATCTTTTCTGGGATTCTTACTTCTTAGAAAATTCTGTATCTCAAATTTCATTTAGTATATGGGGATTTTGTGTTATTTCAAAACAAAAATATATGGGGATTCTGTGTTGATCCTACTTTTTGTACCAAGTAAAGCTATAGTGACAGAATATGTGGTGTGAAAACAATTCTCTATTTGAACATTTTAAAGATATATAAATTATTTATAAGAAATTTATAGAAATTAGGAAAAAAAAAAGAATGAGTGGTGTCTGTTGACCCCACTCTTTATATAGTAGCACTGGCTCTGCCTGCAAGACAACAAGAAAGACATTTCATTATGCTAGATATAAACGATGTTTTTCCTGATAATGAAGTCTGGAGTTTCCGATCAGCTAGCTTGCTTTTATCAAATGTTTCTGTAATATATGATGGGCTTGCCTTTATGAAACATCATCACATGAAATTACCATGTAAGTTCAGAAGCAACCAACCTTAATAGCTGAAAATAAATGTGCCACACCAGTTTGTGACCAATCCTTCCCAACTAAAGGCATGAACTGGCCTAGAACATCTGATCTGCAGAAAGAATGCAAGGCAAAAAAAAGATTCAGAAATGTGAAACATAATGAATGGGCTTGTTAAGTGAGTGGAAACAAAGAGAAACAGAAACAAATCCACTGCAACCATTACTAGGAGCAATAACAGAATTCCATAATGCAAGTTGACTCCAATCCCTAATGAGAAAAAGTAGAAATATGGAAGGAAATTTTGTTTTGGAAAAACAATAGAATTCTAAATCTGAAGAAAAAAGTTGGCCTTGGTTTCTCAAGTAGCAAAATAAAGCCAGATACATTATACACAGAATTGAAAAGCAAACAAAAGATTCAACAGGGAAAAAGAAAATGAAAAACTCATCAGACAAATACAGTTTATGAATAACAGCTCTATCAAAGGCCTTATCTGACAAGTGATAGCATATAACACAGGAAAGGCCAAAAATTCAAGTTCTGTTAACGTGGTATCTTGCTGCAATTCTGATATACTTAAAGGTTCTTGTTGTTCATTTAAAATGACACAGCAGCATGCAATCATAAGACTCAAGTAATTGACAATGTAATTCAACTTTCTTGAATGAATATGGTTCTTGGGGAACTAATGCCTGTTATATGCACCAACAAGTTGATGGTCTAAGTCGAGGCATGTTCCACTGGGCGTTTATATTTGGTTATCTAAAAACAATCTCTACGCTTGCTGTTGTACACTAGGCTCATAAGGCATCACTCGGAAGAATCTTCAAGTCTTACATAAGCCCCTCCCTCCATGAGTTGACTCAAAGGAGAAGAATTCATACTTGGGATCGAGGAACTGGAAATAGTTAAATCATAATTTTGTTTTTGTCTGGTATTTAGTTCCAAGCAGAGGCAAGAAATAGAACTTAGCCAAGTAAAACAGAACTGTGACCTCTATTGCATATAAATAACTAGACAACCTATAGTTACAATTTTGTTTTAGTCTACCAGTTGTCTCCATATCTGATCTTGTTATAAACTTATTCTGTTTCAACACAAATTCCTGCATAAGCTACAAAAGAGAGGTGATGCCTCCATTCTCACAACCCCTTCCTTGATGACAGAATCCAAAGAGATGGAGATAACAATCATTTAAGAAGGCCTGGAAACAGTAACCTATAGTTTGTTTTAGGACAAATCCATACCATGTAGAATGCAAGAAATAGAATTTTGCTACTCTAAAACAATTTTTTTTTTTTAAATAGCTATCTAAAACACGAAGTTAAATCTCTAATGCAGAAAATAACCAGATAACCCTTACTTCGTAATTGTCCCATCCACATCTGATATTACTATTCGAGTGTTCCATTTCCACAAATAAATTCTGGCATCAACCTGTTAAATACACAAAAGAAGTGAACACAGATAGAGAAGAAGATGAAAAACAAAAACAAAACAAAAAGAAGCAAAAGCATAATTCAGCTAAAGACAAAAAATACTTTCGTAAATCTTTTTGTATATGGGTGGTACCCTCTCTTTTGGTACCATGTTAATATATACATCACACTTTTTATTTAAAAAAAAAAAAAGACAAAAAATACTTTGATTGAAGGACAAGAAAATGTCACCTGCTGCTTCCCCAGCATTGCTGTGGAGAATGTGAAGTTTACAGAATTCCTGCCTTCCTTCAGATTTAAGGATGCTAATTGGTCTGATGAAGGTGTGAGTTCCCTTATTATCTTTTTAATCACCTTTGGCTGAAGTGGATTTTCTTTTGTGGCATTTCTGATCATATGCTCTGAAGTATTTTCTGGATAATAACTCCTTGCATCACTCAGAGCTGGCTGCAGAATCTTCCTAGATCTTGACCTTTTGAAAGAAAAAGGCCAAAGCCAGCTTCCACCAGAGGAAACAATGGCTTTGGATTGATCTGCTTCAGGGGATTTCTCAACCTGATCAACAGATATCATGCCCTTTCGTTCAAATATATCAGCAGTCCTGAATGAAACCATCCCTAAAATAGTTGGAGCAGCCACATCCCATGGGAAGTAATGACCACCAATTCTGACAACAAGCTTATTATCCTTCACAATTGAAGGGCCTAGAGAAGTGAATGTCTCTATATCCAATTTTTCAGCATCAAACACTTGGGAAGCAGCATCACCTCCCATTCCTTCATGTAACAAGTGCCTGCAAAGAGAAAGCTCTGCACAAAGTATAATGCATGTGACTTTCTACAGTTGGCCGATTGAGGAGCATTTGCATGCTGAAAAGGGCAAAAAGGAAAAGTCCATTTTGAAAATTCAAGGGAATTCAACCATCATAAAATGATCACATGTAATAGGACAATATCTCCCGCAAAATTAATTCTCAAAATAAAAATGATACCAGTTCCCATTCAAATTATCTTACCGACTTCAGGATTGGCAAAAACATGTTTCATCTTTTCTGAGTAGTCACTATCTTCAATATCTTGCTGCTCCAGTGCCAATCTGTCCTCTTCCTGGTCCTGTACTAACTGATGTTTCTCTGAATCTGATTTTACCAAGCTCAAGTCATCTTTGCCACGCAATGGCCATTTCATGGACTTGGTATCTGAATCCAGTGAATGGCTTAATGGATAATTGTCACGCACATCAAACTTGTGGATGTGAGACCACAAATTGGGCAATGACTCTGCTTGCCTCCCATCCTCTCCACTAGCAACCCAATGACTTGGAGGAACACTAATGGGACTTGACGACATACTTGACCTCTCTACAAAGTTGTCAGGATCACTGGATGTGCTATCAAGTATAGACTTGTTTGAAATCACACTTAACTCACCATCTATCATCTCTTCATTGCTTTCCTTGGAAAAAGAAGAATTACTGTCTTTGTCTAGATGATCTTTCGGCATAGACTCCACATGCTCAATCTCACCAAGTTTAGATTCATCTAGGTCACTGAAAAGGAACTGTTCTTCCTCTGAACTCTCTGATGGTGGGATACTTATTGCATTGGTTGAGTCACAGTCACCATCAGGTCTTTGAGAATTGTGAATAACTAGCAAAGAAGAATGGATATCTGCTGTACAATTGCTCTCACTTTGAACTTGATCATCCAAGTTGATGCAACCAGACCCAATGTCAATGACCCCTGATTCCAATTCTTCAACTGAACTAATAGCAGTTCACCACTAATATTATTGGTAATAGATTGTTCTAAAGTAATCAGTTTTTCAAGTCCCAAATCTGCATCCTTGCCTTGTTCAGCTACACACCCTGATGAAGACCTTCAAACATCTCAGTTCAAATAAAGTGACAGACTTTACATATGATATAAATATGGTCCAGTCATTGTACTGTGTTTA